CTCACCACCTGGCAGTCACGCCCTTCCTCGTGTAATCCCCTTCCCTTGAGCGTGAGGTGGATTAGCAACTAGCTTCTAACAAACGAAAGCAGCGCAAGCAACGGGCATCACTCCTGAGACTGGGTTATAAGATGCCTCCGGCCTCCGTCTTGGCTCCTCTCGCTCGCTGCTCTAGGGCTGCTCCCTCTGGGGAAGCCAGGTGCCCTGTTGTAAGGTGACCGTGAGCAGAAGCCCGGGTGCGGAGGGGCCAAGGACTGCCAGGTGCTGTGGGGGTAGTCTTGGATACGGCCCGGCCAGGCAAGCCTTCGGCGGAGAGAGCCCGTGGCCCGGGCCAACAGTTTCACTGCAACCTCACAAGACAGGAGGCAGAAGACACCTGTCGAAACTGTCAAGATTCCTGATCATAGGAGTTATGAGATCATTAAATGTCGTTTTAAGCCCCTAACTTTTGGGGTAATTTGTTAGGCAGCAATAGATAAGTTACACAGCAATATAGTATCAATCAGTCCCATTTTATAGATAAGGAAACAAGCTGAGAGAAGTAATAGCCCGCCCAGGGTCACGCAGCTAGTCAGCGATGGGTGGGCTCTGAAGTTGTGTCTGTCTCATTGCACACACGTCCTACCTGGGCCCCCGCTAGCTGGCCTGCACATTCAGTGCCCTCTCCCTGACCCCAGCAGCCCCACACGGACACCCTTGTCATTTAGGGATGGGCCCTCTCAGCACCCCATCATTGTCCCAGAGTGCGCGGCTGTGCAGATGGCAGGCCCTGCTGCTCCCTGGAAAACTGAGCAAGTTCATGAAGACCAGGTGGGCAAAGGAGAGCGGCGGGGGGTGGGGAGGACCAGCACCTCCCAGCCACGTGAGTCTCCACACTGAGCCTCCTGCTCTCACTGCCTCTGTGCCATCCCGGTCTCTGACATTTCCAGCAGCCAGATGTGCATACAGATGTGCCTCCCGATAGCCCCACCGCTGGGAGAGAACTAGCCCCCTCCTCCCACTCTCCCACCCCACGCCAAGTTTCCAGAAGAGGACTCCAGATGAGAACTATTTAGGGTCCAGTTCCCTGTCCCTGTCTTCGCGGCACCCCCCCAAAGCCCCCAGGCCAGGCCTGAACACACAACAGGGAGCATGTCTCAGTCACATGAATCCACACACGGTGCCAACATTGCCTTTAGCTGCCCGTACACAAATCCACACTCACTCGTGTGGACACGCATGCACACATACACACAGCAGGGTGTGCCTAGCAGCAGACAGAAGCACTAGGGGAGTATTCTGTTCCAGGGGCCCCCAGGGCTGAAAAGGCAGAGGATGAAGCCTTGGTCCTTGGAGGCAGCCAGGTAGGTGCACGTGGCGCACACACTCGCAGGCACACGCAGGCCCGGACGCCAGTTTACAGCGCGCTTACCACGTGTCAGGTGCACTGCTGCGTGCCCATTAGCTCGCTCACTCCTCCCTACAGCCTTCAGCACAAACCTTGCCGTCCCCAGTTTACGGAAGGGAGCGCTGAGGCTCAGGCAGGTAAAGGGCCTGGCCAGTAAGCGTGGAACAGGATTCAAACTCTCGCCGAGAGCACCGGCCCACCGGCCCATTCTTCCCCAACCTGCCTGGTCTCAGGCCTCACATCCTCTGAAGTGTTCCCGATGTTCTGTCTCCTCTGCCTCCTCAGGCCACCTGCAGCTCCAACTGCCACGTGGCCCACAGGCCCAGGGCCGGCACCCCACCCCTTTCCCTCTTACACACTGGCTGAGTAGCTGCTGGTGCCCACTGCATGCCAGGCATTCGCTGAGGTAAGAGCCGACAGAGCTGGACCGGCCCGAGCCCTGCCCTCCCAGAGCCCAGGAGTACAAGGGGCGGCAGTGCGCGTGTGCACACGTGTTCACAGACACACCCTCCAGCCCCACCTGGGCCCAAGCCTCCAAAGCTGCTGCTGCCAGGAGACAGACGGCCCTGCCGTGCCAGTCCCAGGCCTCACAGATCCATCTGCCACCCCCTCCCCTGCTGCCTGTCTGAGGACTAAGGAGCCCAAGGAGACGGGGCGTCCGCTGTAGAAGGGCAAGGCCGGGCTCCCTCCTGAGTCGCCGGCCATTTCCTCCCAGGTCACAGCAGGCCCCTCTGCAACAGGACAGCGTGGGAGCCAATCACTCAGGTCCCTGCCCCCAGCACCTAGAGTCTGTCTGCCAGAGACTATCCTGGGGGCGATGTGTGTCTCCGTGCACGTGTGTGCGTCATCCACTCATCACATCAACCCCTGGGTCCCAGGTCACTTCCTTGCCCTGGGGGAGCACTTAAGGAGGAGAAAGGGGGGGGAAGGGGAAGGGAGGGGAGAAGGGGGAGGGGCTCCAGTATTCCAGTCGCCTCTGCTGTGCTCTTCCTAACCCCCACCCTGCCCCCAAGATGGGGGAGCTCTAGGAATCTGCCCGATGAAAGAAGTCAAGCATGTAAGTGCCAAAGCCATTTTCCAAATGGGAATTAATTTCTCCCGTGGGTTCCCTGCCAGGCTGCTCCCAGAGGACACAGGTGCACACACATGGTACACACATGTGCACGTGCGTGACTCACGCAGAAACACGGACATCTATGGAACAACAAGGACATGTCACAGGCACAGAGTCCCATAAAGGCGGCTGCTCAAACATGGGAGTACAGACACGACAACACTCAATCCCTACAGACTATACAGGTAAATACACGTCATGCAGAGGGGCCTAAGACACAGGCGCGCCGTCTGCAGACACCAGAAGCACAGACAGCCAGACATGTCCGCAAACCCCCCTACCCCACAGCATGGGGTCACTCCCTGTCATCTCCCCCTCACCTCTCACTGTGACCCAGCAACCCGGCATCCTCAGCTGAGGAAACCAAAACCCCGAGGCCCACGGGGAGAACACAACCCGAAACGGCGTCCCCGTGTCCTCAGCGGGCAGGCTGTGGGCTGAGAGCCCAAAGGGACAAACCCCTCATCTCTCACTTCCCCCAACTCACCTTCCAGAAGGATGGCAGTGAAACCAGAGCCACTGGAATGTGCAGTGGTCTACCCACGTGGACGTGGGGAGGCCACGTGAGGACGTGCATGCAGGTGTGGGTACAGGCAAACCCCTCTCTCCGCAACCCCCACCTGCTGCCTCCTACTCGTGACAGCAGCTGAGGCAGGGGCAGCGCCAGCTTAGCAGCGACCCAGGCTAGGGGCGGTGGTCCTGGCAAGGGGCTGAGGGCCAAAGCAGATGGGACATAAGCACTCGCCAAGGGCCACCCAGCCCGGATGGCCCAATTCCGAGAGTCCTCAGCACACTTAGGCTGTCCTCTAGTTCCCGGGGCGGGGAGGGAAGGAACATGACCCTGGCCTCAGAATGCCTTCCCAAGGCCTGTGGGTTTTCCCCACGTTAGCTCCTTACATCGGCTCACGGACCCCTCCTCCCAGTTGGCCCGTGAGGAGGCACTATGATTAGCCTCATTGACAGGAGGGAGCCGGGACTCAGGGAGACCCTTGCCTTCACTACAGCACGTCTATCTACTCCAGTGCATGAGCTCTTGACGGCCATATGCCACCTGCAGGGGTGGGTCCTGGAGTCCTCACTCCCCTCTGAAGCCTGTGCTCCAAGGAGGCTGGAGGACAGTGAGCTGCGGCCCAAGCCTGTTCTGAGGGCCTCTCGGTCCTTCCCAGGCCACGGGCTCGCCCCGTCTGACTCCAGTGGAAAATGCCAGTCCGCCTCAGACCTTGTGCCAACGGGCCCCGCTGGGGCCGATGGGCCTGAGAGGAGCCCCCGCCCCACAGACAGGCAGGGCCAGGCCCAGGTCAGCCAGTCCGTCTCGGGCCAAGGCCCAGGCCACGGGTGTTGGCCCTGGCTGGCTCCGGGTTATGTGTCTTGCAGGGCCTTCCATCTGTCACTTAGCCCTCCAGGCCCAGGACAAAATTCATTTCCTTTTAGGAGAGCCAATGATTTGCTTTTCCCATGTCTCCTTCCCTGACTTTTTCTTTTTTAATTACAAATTACTCTCTCCAAGTCCAGAGCCTAGAAGAGGGAAGCCACCTGGTGACCGGTCCTGGCCACAGCTTCCCACTCCGTCTTCCTTCCTGGGCCTTTGCTGGTGCCTCAGCACCCACTGCTCTGCTTGTGGAGGTGGCCCCATCCCCTGCTGCCCTGTCCGGGGAGGGAGGAGGGCCCGGGACGCCCCAAGGTCAGCCCTCGCTGTTCTGGCACCAGGCAGCTTTACAGGAGCCCCGGCTCCTGCGTGCGGTGCCATAGCAGCCATGTTGCTCCCCAGACCGCAGCCCTCAGGCCAGGTGGGTGAGGGGACGGGGACGGGAGCGGGCCAAGCAGAAGCCCTGTGGATGGGGGCCAACCGGTTCTCCTCCCTCCCACCCCTTCACCCGCTTGTCGGGTCTTTCCTTTCTGACCGTGGAGGTGAAGGGTCAGAAGTTCCCTGATCTCCCCAGCAGAGCACACGCAGTGGGGAGCTGTCACTTGCACACATGTGCCTGGGCACCAGCTGGCACAGGCACACACCGGCAGATACCTCTAGCGCACACTTACGAGCAAAGGCATGCACGCACGCTCACGCACACTTGGTGTGCCCACTCGTCTCTCCACTGCTCCATGGTGGGACTCAGCGCATCCCCGGGCCCACACAGGTCCCCAGCTGTCACGCTGCTTGGCCCGAGTCCTGGGAAAGGGGGGTATGGACATCCAGGGCCTCACATCCCACTTGGGGGTTTCTCAGCACCCTGGGGAGGTAAGAGGACAAGGAGACTTTGTGGGGAGACTCAGCTGCTTGACTTTCCACCAGTTGCCAGAGAAAGACCCCCTCTGCCTGCCCTTCCCAACCCCCCTTGCTTTCCTCTACCCCAGTTTCTGCCACCCAGAGGAGACCCCCAAGGAACGAAGAGGCAGGGGATGACTGTACCTTCAAGCCCCCAGTGCCTCTCAGGCCCAGCCTCCCCAGGTGGTCCCCAGGCTGGGGGTGGACGGATCCCCAGGCATCAGCTGGGGCCTTACCGTGGAGGGAGCTCCGAGTGATCTGTCCCCCCATCACAGGCAGCAGGCAGCACAGCCACCTTCGTTTGGCTAGCAGGCCTCGTCACCAAGCTGCCCGGGTGCCGGTTCCCCTCCTCCTGCCCCCTCTCCTCCCCTGCAGCTGGTGGCCCGCATGGCAGTGTGAGCCTGCCCCTCCCACGCTCCCTCCCGCACACACGGCAGGCACTGCCCGCCCAGGCCGGCCACGCTGGCACGCACACCCTTGTGGCCAGGCTCACTGGCTCACTGGCTCACCGGCTCACCGCTGCCTCCCAGCTTCCACCCACTCCCAGAGCCTCCCCCACCTCCCAGCGCTGGTACAGGCAATGGGATCTGTCATGTTTATTTACATAAGGAGGAGGAGACTGGAGGCTTCCTGAAATAGCCAGCTCCGGAAAGCGCTGGAGATGCCCCAGCCTGAGCGCACGCACACACATGCACACACGCACACGCCCCATCACACACCTCACCCCCCCCACACCCTCACCGTTTACTGAGGACTTCCACTGTTCACGTGTCATCGCGCACCTGCTACATGCAGATATCAGGTGAGGCAATGATACCATGGTGGGGACAGCAGATGCTGCCCCTGCCCGCAAGGGGCTTACGGTCCGGCTAGACGGGCTTCATAACAAAAGCTGACCCTGCTTCTATCTTCTTCCAGGCTCTGTTGCAAGTGCTTTAGGAGTATTAACTCCTGTGGTCCCCATGGGCTGAATGATGAGGACACTGTTATTGTTGTTATCAATAGGTACCATTATTATTATTATCTTACAGATGAAAGCACTGAGACAAAGAGGTGACCTGCCCAGAGGGCGGCAGGGCTGGGATAAGAATCCACATTCTACCCCCACAGGAAACTGTCCCTTTGATCATAAACATATGCAAATGCACACAAATATATACAGACCACACCACCCACCTATACCACATCCCATGCATATACACAAACACAGGCTCACAACCACTCACAAGCATTTGTCATTGTACACACTTTGCCTACAGCCCGCCAGACACACACTAACCTGATACGTGCACACCTCGCAATGTACACACTCGGCATGCACACTTTGCCACAGGTCACACAGTCTCTGGGGAAATCTTGAAATGCAGGGCCCAACACCCCACACTCGGGGGAGACGGAGGGGTGCAGACAGAGTGGGCAGAGGGCGGTGGGAAGGCAGGCGCTGGGGCTCTCGGCAGGCACACGGGGAGCCCAGGCACCATCCAAACAGCAGGTGCTGTGCCCTGAGCGCTCACTGCTCACCGGCACCGCGGGTGCTAATTCACACCCTGGCAGCAGGGGCTGCCGGCCAGTCCCTCTTACAGAAAAGACACCAGGGGGCTCTGAGAGGCTCAGGAACTTGCCTACGGTTGACCCAGCAGGTCAGAGGCAGAGGCAGGACTCGAGCCCAGGTCTGTGGGCCAATATCACAGCCCCAGGCTCGCTGCAGGCCGGGACCTCTCCCAGGAAATCTGGACAGCTGCCTCCTCCCAGGCCCTGGCCAGCCCCCAGCCTCTGTCCTCAGGTTAGGGACCTGGGTTCCCAGGGAAAAAACTAGGTAGGGAAGGAAGGCCAGCAGGTGGAGGGGGGAGGGTTGGGGAAGAAGCTGTAAGAAAGGCGGGGGCTGTCCCCTGTCAGATAGACTCAGAGACCTGGGCACTGGGAGGGGCTGTGCTGGGCACATTACACACATTATTTTGTTCAAGCCTCATGACAACCCTGAGACACAGGCTGCATTTTATACCCATTCTGTAGGTGAGGAAGAAGCTGAGGCAAAGAGGCTGCTCTAGAGGCTGTTCCTGCAGCAGCAGAGTCAACCCCCTGACCCTGCTCGCCTTTTGATGCACCTGCCTGGGCCCTTCCCCACCAACCCCTCCAGGGACCAGTCTCGCCTTCCCCAACCCCCCAGCGCTGGTAACATCTCTTCTGAGAAGCACTCTCTGCCAAGGCCCTGGAAACAGAGCAAGTTCCCCTTCTTGGAGGCTGTCTCTCCTCTGAGCCCAAGCTATGCTTCTCCCAACCCCTCGTCCTCTCCGCCCTAGCTGTGGCGTTGTCTGTTTGCCTTGGCCTCTCCCGTGTACATCTCAACCACTCAAGATGACCAACATTTTTTGAGCACCTCCCATGTGCCAAACACTGGGGATGCAATGATGATCAACGACAGATCCTGGCTCCTGTGGACTTCGAGTCCAGAGGAAAACAGACATCTACCAAGGAGTCTCACTAAGGAATATCATCACGTTCTGAAACAAAGGAGCAAGGTTCCGGGGGGCTCCACCTAGGGGTTCCTGGAGAGCAATGGTGAAGGAGAAGCAGTCATGCCTGTGTGCTCTGCAGGGACACTGAGGAGAGAGTGCTCCAGAGAGTGAGTGCAGCATGTGCAAAGGCCCTGGGGCTAGAGAGAGCCCCACACCTCCGAGAAGTAAGGTTGCAGTGGCTGCAGGAGAGACGGCAGGGGGCCCAGGGGAAATGCTCTGGTGGCAAGCCAAGGTGGGCTGGAGACACAGCAGGCAGGCCTCGAAGAGCAGGGTGAAGAACCGGGCCTTTTTTCTGAGAGCAACAGGGAACCCCTGACAGGTTTCAACAGGAAGGCAACAAGACCAGGCTGCGTTTCTGAAAGGTCACCCTGCCATCTGGTGTGGAGAGTGCATGGGAGGAGGCAAAAGAGCCCAGGGGAGAAAGCGGTGGCATCCAGCTGGCCCGGGCCTGAACCTGACTTGCCCACGCTCTCCTCGGGCGCAGCGTCATGCCTGCGCAGAGCAGGCACTCAGAAAATATCTCACAGGTGGGACTGATGGCACAGAATTTTCCAGAAACAGGACTGGGAGAAGTAACCAAGCAGGGATGAGGGCAGGGTGAGGGCTCAGAGAACCAGGAGTCCTTCAGGTGGGCGGCAGCTTCACTCTGGCTGCTTGAGGGACAATGGAGCGGAGGATCGGATGCAGCCTGGGCAGCCCCTGGCCTTCACACCACCACTGCCTGCAGGGCTTTACTGGCAGGGGTCCTTAGGTCCCGTTTTCCATCAGCCACTTCCCCAATTTAAATAGGAAGTGGCAATGTCCTGTGTCTGACAGGTTCCCCGTCACCTTCCCACAGCAGCGTCTGGGCCTCTACAGGTTCTGGGGCAGTCCGACCGCAGCCCTTCTCTGCTTTACTGCGGAATTTCACAAAGCTTCACGGGGCCAAAGAATGCTGTTACTAACAGGGGTGAGAGCACCACTGAACTTCATCGTTTACTCATTCATTCATTCAGTGTTCCCTGAGTGCCAACTCGGGCCCGCTGGTGAGCAAAACCCAACTTCCGCCCTTGGGAAGCCAAGCAGGAGCCATGCTGGGATCAAGGTATGAGGTTCCTTTGGCACTGGTTGAATCATTCCAGTGTCCTGTTCTGTAGAAAAGGAGAAGGATAAAAGGATATAAAAGGGGATGTGAAAGGAGGGAAAGGATGTGAAAGGGAAGTGGAGACTCTATAAGCGAGTCTGTGGGAGAAGCGAGTCTGTGGGAGACGCTGTAAACATTACCCTTTATTGAACACTTAATCACGCACCAGGCACCATGCTAAGTATTGCACACGTATAATCTCACCCAATCCCACAACATCCCTACAGGATTATAATCATGCCCACCCTCCAGGCTACAGAACTGGGGCTCAGAGAGGTTACAGTAAAGGCAAGACAAGCTAGAGTTCGATCCCAGACCTGTCTGACATTAAAACTCACACTCTGGACAGAGAAGGTCAAAGGGCAGGGAACTGCCCTTTGCTTGAGGGAAAGAAGACAAGGGGATATAGGCCTTGTTTTTCAGGAATCAGGAGGGTTCTAGGTAAAAGCAGAGCCTTGGAGTTTTCCAGGGAACAGAGGGTGACATCCCAGGGATGGAGCATAAATGAAGGCAAGGAGACTGGCATAAGGCTGCTCTTCCTGTCTACCAACGGGTGGCCCATCCCGGACATCTTGCAGAAAGCAGACCATCCGTACTACCTCAAAGCCTATGGGAACAAAGCAGGGCTGCGCATGCCCCTGGGGAGCACTTGGTCTGACAGAAACCTTGCAGCCTTCAGAAAAAAACAAACAAACAACCCTCCCTTTCTGGCTACCCACCCCACCCCCCCAGCTGCATCTGCTCTCTGGCCCCATCCAGGGAGCCTCTGCCCCTTGGCTCTCTGAACCCACTCAGCTCCCCAGACCTTCCTGCCACCAGGGTTCTCCTCATCTTCCTGTCGTCTGCCGCCTGCCAGCCCCTCTCCATCTCTCCATCTTGGAGGCCAGCTTGGTCTCAACGGTCTCCTCCCTAAGTCCTTTCACACCCATGTCCGCCGAGGCCCAGCACCTGCAGCCCCAGGCTGAGCCTACCCTCTTAGAACTTAGTCTGGGACAGATCCAGCAACTGCAGAACAGAACACGGAACAAGTTCACTGGACAATAGAAACCATCGGGATTAGAGACACCAAGATCTCTAATCGAGGGAAAGGGACCTCAAGACAGCATTGGGGCCTGGGTGGAGGGACCCAGAATGGAAAACTGGGACCCACGGAGGGTGCGTGCTCCCCGAGCAAGGCTCACAATCTGTGTCCTGCAGGTGACTGTCCATAACCTGACCTGTTTGACCGAAATGGACTGTGGCTGCATTACAGCAAGTGGCGCCGCAAGAAGCAAGCAGGGACCCCCGAAGAAGAGGAGTTCAAGCTCATGTACGGAATGCTCTTCTCTATCCGCTCTTTTGTCAGCAAGATGGCCCCGCTAGACACGAAGGATGGCTTTCTGGCCTTCCAAACGACCTCCACTACTAGGAGACGCCCGCTGGGATCCAGGCTGCTGTGAACACTGACTTGGGCGCGGGACTGTCCGGGGTGTGTGCTGCAACCCCTCTGCAGTGCGCTGTACACGGCGCTGTGGTGGAGACCCCCGCGCCCGCTGGGACAGGCTGCGCAAAGTGAGCTCTGCCGCTCCTGACCGGACCCCTACATCCGCTCTCCGCCCTTTGTCCCTGCCAGCGCTGGCTGAAGGGAGCACCCTAACTCACCCCTCAGGAGGATGTCGGTCTGCCTGCCCCTCCAACCCCTCTAGCCCCCGGGCAGCCCACCCTAGTGCCCCCCACCCGTCACCTCCAAACCAGGCCCTCTCTCCAGTCTTACCCTCTACCAGGTGCCGTGAGAAATACAGAATAA